ACACACACATACACAAACACATACACACACAAGCACCCACGCATAAACACGCATGGGCTGCAGTGTGCGCTTACTATGAGAACTTAATTGTTTAATAACTTTTTTTATGGACGTACGATCTTCATGAAACTTTCAGATTATGATTATAACATGGATATGCATGTAATTGCCAAAGCACAAGTCTCTAGTATTTGAAATACGCTTTTTACAAAAGTGAGGGTGAGGGGGTGAATTTAAGGGTGGGGGGTAAATTTTAACAAAAACCGAAATTGTATAAATTGCATATAAGCATACATTAAAAATTTGGAGACTCTAGCAATAAAGGTGTAGAAGATATAATTTTATAACTGGTTTTCGATAAGGTTTTTTATCGATAAAAAAAGATCGGGATGAGTTATCGATTTTTAATGATAAACTTGATATGCGCGCTGTAATTACGGACATTTTAAAAAAAATTTGAAGTCTCTAGCTCTTATATCTTCTGAAATCGACGCGTTCATACATACGGACAGACGGACAGACGGACAGACGGACGGACGGACAGACGGACAGACGGACAGACGGACAGACAGACGGACAGGGCCAAATCAACTCAGCTCGTCGCCCTGATCAAGAATATATATACTTTGTGGGGTCTGCCACGCCTCCTTCTGCCTGTTACATACATTTCAACAAAACCATTATACCCTGATTTCCCATTGAAAATGGGTTCAGGGTATAATAAGAAGAGAGAGAGAGAGAGGGGGAGAGAAAAAAAGCAACTTCATAGCATCTGCAGTTTTCTGCAGTTTTGGTTTAATTGTCATGCGCTGCTGCGGTTGGCAACATTGTTGCTGTGTGTGTGTGTATGTGTGTGTGTGTCTGTGCCCCAGTGTCTCTATCTTTAGCTGAAATCTAAATTACACTGGCTTAACGCAGACTCGTTCGCCATTATGGCCAATGCAAATACACCCTGGACAAACATACCGAAGCACACGCACACATGCATGCAACGTTATAGGTCGGTTCGGGTAGGTATGGCTATTATTAAAAGCGCATTTATATAATGGACGCCTGAGAGCGTCCAGCAGTAGCAGGAGCAGGAGCCGGAGCAGGATCTGCGAGCTGCGAGCTGCTGAATTGGTCACGCAGCGCACAGGATATACGCGCTGCAAATGTGGCAAGGAAGCAGCTGCCTGCTGGCCACATAACGGGGCGTATGAGTTATCTGCATAATTTTCCCTTATTTTTTATCTTTTATCTGGCAGCCAGTTATGCCAGTTGTTGCTCGCGCTCACTCGAGCATTTAATGCTGGTTCTTATTGAAATGCAGTTTGCATTAATGCGCATATTATGCCAAAATATGAGCTGAGTAGGTGTGCCGATGTGTGTGTGTGTGTGTGGGTGCCTGCGTGTGGCCTTTTAATCATTATGCACTTGACTGCGTTTGCGCTTTAAATAACGTAACGTAATCAGAAACCTTTTGTTTTGAAATTGGATCGCAGCGCAGCAGCGCACACAACTGGCGTCATTTATTGGGGGCACACTTCAAACAACTGACACAAGCACACACGCCTCCTGCTGCTGTCAATGTTGATGCCGCCACGCCGTTTGCTGATACCACAAACCACACACACACACACACACACACACACATACACTTTCCCTTTCTCTCTCTCTCTCTCTCTCTCTCTCTCTCTCTCTCTCTGCCTTCTCTCGCTGACTAGCTGCTGCCGCCGCCATATGGTCAGCTATTTGGCCACAAGCCTCATGCCGCACCGGCTGGCCACAATTTATGAATATGACACCGCCCGCTGTCAGCATTTGCCGGTCGCCTGCAATTAATTGCAAACTTGGCCAAAATTGATGCTCACTTTAGCACATTTTTAATGCGCTCGCTAATGCATACTCTAATAGAGCAGCGCAAGTTTCGGGTACAAATTTTACAGGCGACAACTAAGTGAGTGTAAGATATATTGTGGGTACTTATATATGTCCTCATTCTGCGCTTAAGTTAGTTGCGTCAGTTTCAAGTCAAGTTGCACGCTGACTGGACTAGAAGCTGTCATGAAGAGATCGACTTAAAAATTAAACTAAATATTAATTATATCTGAAATTTAGTGAATGATGAATACACATTTATCTTAATGGAATGTATTTGTTTTAAACATTATTATTATTTTTTAAATATTTTTATAAAATATATTAAATTTATACTCAATATGTAGTACCTCTAAAAAAAATAAATTTATTTATTGTGACATAATAATTTAAAAAATTAAGAAATCCGCGGCATTTTTTATTATTTAGATATCAGTTTGATGTTGTCCACAAAATATTATTAAAAATAAATTAAATTTTTTCAAATTAATTTTTATACCTAACAAGTTTTAATTCATAATTTTAATCGTATTTAATTTTTTTTTTAAATCTTTTTAGAAACAATCTGAAATTCAAAATTTAAAGCAAGACGTATAAATAATCTTAAAAAAATATAAATATTTAAAATGAGTTAGTTGCTTAAACATTTTTAGTGAAACGCCTTACTTTAAAGCAATACAAAAATGAATACTAAGTATATATGTATGTACATACATTATAATATATATTGTCTAATATATTTCTTAATTAACTTAAAAGAGGAATTTTACGGAGTCGACTGTAGAGTATCTAGCCTATAATTAAAGTAATTTGTGCCGCAGAATATCAGAATATACTTCATCATCTCTTGCTCTCTTTTCTTCTTCTTCTTCGCGCTCTCGCTCGCCCTCTCAGTTTCAATCTCTCCGTTCGACTCAGCTGTTGTTTTTTTGTCTGCTGTATCAGGTGATGGAATGCTGGCTGCAAATTCAATTTCCATTGATGGCAATTGATGGCACAACGACCTCAGTTAGGCTAAGCTATTTTTTTGTAGGTGGGCAGGTGGTAGGAGACAGGGCGGCATGGGCGTGGTCGAAGGGTAATTGCAGTTTTCAGTTATTGTTTTTGTGTGTCCAAAAGCCGAAGCGACAGTCATTGCATGCAAATGTCAAAGGCACTAAAGCGCTTAACGTAATTTCTGACATGCCATGTGCCAAAGTTCGGTTCCAAGTTGGCCTAAACGGTTTTGCCCAAGTTACAAGCCATTGACAGGCCAAATGGGTTACGTTGAGCCGAGGAAAGTTCTATGCCTGCAGCAGTGTGTGTGTGCAGAGGCAGGTAGGATGGCCAGGGGAACGGGCGACACGTGTGCATGCTGTCAATAACAGTTGCACGCAAGGTATCCACTTTATGTGGCATCGCAACCAGTTGCCTGCCTGTTTGATCAGCTTGGCCAGGCCAGGCCCGGCCTGGGCCTGTTTAGCTGTTGGCTGTTGCCTGTTTATGTCGTGATGTCCTTTCTTCGACTGTTTGCAGCTGAACGCACGCGTGCACTAATCCTTTTGCAGCTGCAATCTGCGACTGCTCCCAGGATCACAACAGTATCCTGCCAGGCAGCCAGCTAGCCAGCCAGCCAGACCCCAATGCAATACATCAAATTTTGGCAGGCCTGACTGGCTGCAGCGCGATCTTTAGCGAGTGGCAGGTGCAGGTGTCTCTCTCCCCTAGTCGTTGCAGCACGCTGATTGTAGGGGCCATCAAACAGATTGCAAAGCACATTTGCAACATGCTACGTGCCACGAAAGCTGCAATTAAGTTTTGTTAATTTTAATGAAGCTTTGTCGCATCTGCTGTCAGTTGCCTGCTGCTGTTGCTGCTACTCCTGCTGCTACTCCTGCTGCTACTCCTGCTGTTGTTACCGTAAACAACAACAGCAACTGGCCATTGGGCAACATTTTGTAGGGATTCTACGTTTTGGTTTTCATGCGTTGTGCTCTCTCTCTCCTTTTTTTCTGTCTTGTATGCGAAAGCAATGCAACAGCTGCCCATTTGCTTTAAGGGTAGTTTTGCTTCTTATTTTTTGTAGTATTATTTTTTTCTTTTTCTTTTTTTGCCACGCCTTATGGCATTTAGTTAACGTTTTTTCTTTAATTAAATTAAACGTATGTCTGGCTAATGACATATCATTATTTAGATTATAACATTGGCTGTTTGGCTATATGAATCATCAGCATCATATATCAAATATATATAAAATTTTCAAATTTCAGTTGGCATAAAGTAGAGCTAAAGAGAAAAACCACTAGAGAGACCTAGTCGATTGAGTATTCAAATTGCAGAGCTGTCGTTACAGATGCAGCTGCACGATGTCGAAGATTATAATTGTGCTCGGAAAACGAATGGCAGCTCAGCAATTGGAGTAATCTCTAATCTCTTTACAGCAGCTTAGGTATATTAAACACTGCCGTTCTTAAGCTGCTAATCTCAATATGCATAACTTTTTTTAAAAAAATTAATGAATAATATATCATTAGGAATATATACAATATGCATAACTTAATATTTTGATACTTGTATTTTTTATTTTTTT